TGCAAAGCAGCTCAGCAGCCAGGAACTGCTGCAGGCTCCTGTGTCCTGCAAAAGCAGTGTTTGAAAAGTGAAATCCAAGAGCTGGCCCTGAAAAAACTCACAGTGGTCTCTGCTGCTTTGCCCTCATAGTCTCCTTTTGGGTAATCAAAAGGCAGGGCTGAGGACAGTGGCACATTGTAGTGGCTTGTGGGCTCTGTACTGAGGGCTGTGCTGTGCAGAGGGAGGCATTTCCATGGCCAGTGCTGGGCCAGGAATGCAGAAAGGCACACAGTTTTAGCTCAGGGAGCCTTGTGCTTGATTCCATGCCTGACAGCACAGCTCTGTAGCGGTACACTCCCTGTCAATGCTCACAGTAGAAAGAAGCCAGCAGCAGCAGTGAGCTTTGAGGTCAGGGCAGGTGGCACCGTGGAGCAGAAACAGGTATCTTGCTCCCTCCCCTCTGTGTTCATGTGTCCCTGCAGAGGCAGGAAAGAGCCTTACCTTGAATGCCTCCCTTGGAGGACATGGGATGGCCCCATAGCCCTTGGTCCCAGGGTCATCTTTGAAATCAGCATGTGTTAAAACACCTGTAATTCCTGAGGTCATTGTTGGAAATGCTTTAGCCCCTCATTAACGTGTTTGGGTAACTGCACAAACAGGATGCCACTGGCAGCCAAGCTGGTTCTTCAGGTGAAGCATCACCCTAGGAATGGTCTCTAATCACCCTAGGAGTGGTCTCTAATCACCCCAGGAATGGTTTCTAATCACCCCAGGAATGATCTCCAGCCTTGCTTCATTTCCTATGGCTTTGGTGTCACTCCTCCCTGCCGGAGGAACCACCAAGCCATCAGCTACTCTTTGCTCAGGAGAGATGGTTCCTAGAACATCTTCTTTTACCATCAGCCTTTTGGAAAAGCTTTCCCTGTTTTGAAGAAGTTCTGCCACTCACCTTCTCCCTGAGGACTTCTCAGTTTGAAAAAAGTCTCAAGGCTTTACTTCCAAATGGAATTTTATATTCATCTGTTGTTGGCAGTTGTTTCTTCTGGCTTGCTCTAAAAATCAAAACCAGCAAACCCATACAGAAAAAGAAAAAACCAACAACAAAAACCCCCAATTCTATGTAAATCATTGGGGCATCTCAAATTTGCAGTATTCAACACAAAGTACTTATAAGTTTTGCCTAATAAGATTGTTCTAATGATTTAGATATTGGGGCAGTAACTCTTCAAGCTTATTTTGGTTAGATTTTAAGTAATATTTTTCTTTGATAAATTTCTTTCATCCCTCTTTGAATTCCCAAACTTTATGCTAGTGGGAGTCCTGTAGTTTAACTGTGCATTTGCTTTGCACTTGCCATGATCATTTCATGTGAGAGCCTATTTTTCTTGTGTAATGAGAAACAGTAATTGTTCCCCCAGTTACCTTCTCTGTCCTGCTTTTGACTTTCTTGGCCTCCTTGATTCCCCTTGGTCACTTCTTTATCAGACTGAGGAGTTTTATGTGTTTAATCCTACCCCATTTGGAAGCTGCTCAGTAACTTTGTCACTTGTCATACTTTGGGTCATTTCTAGTTCTTCTTTATTCCTCTCAGATAAAGGGAGCAGCACTTCTCCCAGTGCCCAAGCTGTGAGTACAATATGAGATATAATGAAGCAATATAGTCATGTTTTCTTATTTCCTTTTTTTCCCCAGTGCCTCCTTGTTGTTTGTTTTTTATTAACTACTGTTGAATACTGAGCTGTCTGTAATAACTCATGATCTGTCTCCACAGTGGTAGTATTAGCTAGTTCAAAGCCCATTGCTCTGGATTTAGACTGAAGATTGTTTTTTCCATACGTACATTACTTGGTGGTTTTTTAGAATTGAATTTCATCTGCAGGATTTTCACCCTGTCACTTTTAGATCCTTTTGTAGCATTTTACAGGCAGCTTTTGGTTTAAAGGACTTGGATAATTCACTCCCAGCCTGGTTCCCCTGTCCCCTTGTGCGGGCTGAACAACCCAGGCCCTTGCACAGATCCCTCAGAGGTTCCTGCTCTCACCAACAATTGTGCAAGCTGGTTGTTTACTCCTATTCAATCCCTAATTTTGCAATCACTTCTCAAGCAAAGACCTTCCCTCTTGCTGTAGGATAGCATCATTTAAATAGTCTTTAGTGAGAGGGTGTGTCCAGAGGCTTTTGGAAATCCATGTGAGCAGGCATTCTCATTCATGTGGGACAGCAGAAATCTTGGGACAGCAAAGGCTGCTGCCATCCTTTCTCTGCCTGTCACAGAAAATCTACTCAGTTGCTCCATTTTGTAACAAAACAAGTAAATCCTATCTTGGAGTAATCTTCTAGTTTATCTAACACACCAATGGACTGTCCCACCTTAGACATTTCATGTTGCAATGAGTCTTCCCTCTTTTAACAGTGCTCAGCTTGGCTGGAATAGAAGTTTGTTACAAAGCAAAGGCCTGAACTTCCACAAAGGTGTGTTGAGGCTCATTCTCAGGCTAGGAGGTGCCTGTCTGCAGGCTGGGTACCAGCATTGGAAAAACTGTTGAACTTCCATCATCTAAATCCGTTTCTGCTGTTCCAGCCAATTAAACATTAAAATGAGCGTGACAAATAAGTGTTTGTTTATGGGTCAGTAACTCTGGAGTGTGGCTGTGACATGGCTGCCCCAGACAATCCACTTCAGGGCAGGCCTGGGCAGCCTGACATCCTTGGGTGTGTAATTGCTTTTATAGGGAAAGGGAAGCAATAAGGATAATGCAGCTATCAGGCCCCGACTCACTAGTTCAGAAACTTCCCCTTGCCAATCAAATGCCTTTGGTATTCAACCAGTTTTAGGCTTGTTCCAAAGGCATTATTGTGCTGTCAGAGAATATCCTGATGGATATATGCATTCTCTCCAGTGTTGGATGTTACTTTCTTGGTTTTGTCCACCAGCCAGCCCTCAGTGCTCACTTTATGGCAACAGACAGGCCTGTCTTGTCCCTCTCCCTTGCTTCCCCCTCCTCTATTATATATATTTTTTTTCAGCACTATTAGATTATTAAATGCTTAATGACTATTCCATTCCTGCTAACTATACTTTTGATGAGCTGCAGTCATAAAACTTTGTAACAGCAAAGCGTGTGTCTGGTTCCTTTATAGGAAGGGCACATTTGGGGAGCTGAAGTAATGGGGGATAAAACTCAATTAATGAATAGAAATAAAAAGAAGTAAATGAAGTAATCAAACTCAGAGAAATTAGTATTGGCAGGTCTTGAATGATGCTCTTGGATGAACAATCTTTCAAAATCCTTCCTTGTATGCCGCTGCTGTCTCTTTATTTATTATTAAAATAACATGATCCATGAGGCGCTCGGGGTGACTCCCAGCCTAGCTAATTCTAATTAATCCAGTCAGGGAGAGCAGCAGGGTAAGTGGAGCAGTCTATCGGATTGAAATTCATAACTTAATTGAGGTCAAAGTCCTGGGTTGGGAGAACAAAAGTCTTTCACTGGGACCAGGCAGATCAATAGCAATAAATATCTGGCTTGGATGCAAGTAGCTTATAGTGACGGATTATCTGACACTGGCCAGAGGTCTTGGTCTTGTTCAGGGCAAAGTCCTATGGCATGTTCAGTGGAGGGTGACTTTTGCCAGTGCTTCCTCCAAAACCCCAAACAACTCTTGAAGGACTCCTGGGACCCTCAGGAGAAGGATGTCCATACAGAAATCCACATGGGTCATGCTGAAATTTGATTTCTCAAGGTACAGGTGTCTCATCAGTAGCACAAGGGCAAGTGTCACATTAGTGCTGATGGAGGCTGGAAGAAGTTGCTCAGGCTTACAGGAACTTGGAGCTAAATCACAGTTTGTCCAGAAAAAGACCTTTAGGATCAGGGGAAGCTGAACCGTGGATGGATGGGCTTTATGCCAAGTCTGTATTTATAGCACCCTTATATAGGAGGACAGAGGAAGGTTGGAAGAGAGAAGTGTAAATAATCATTAAGTTGGGTTGGTAGTGAGAGAGAAAACAGCAGAGGAAGATGTGATGTTGCCTGTTCTTCAGAAAAGCATCCAGTGTCTGCTGTTGTCACCATCATATTTTCTGGAAAAATCTCTTCACCCGGGATTCTTCTCCTGGGAAGCTGAGAAGCTTCAGAGAAAACTGAAAGCAATAATTGTCTGATTTTCTTCTCCTGTGTTTTGCTGCTTTGGAACGTGTTTGGACATTGTTTACCAGCTGGTGGTTGTTTCATTGGTTTCATGTGAATTATTTTGACTTATTGGCCAATTATGGCCAAGCTGTGTCGAGGCTCTGGAAACAGTCACAAGTTTTCTTTAGTATCTTTCTAGCCTTCTGTCTGTATCATTCCTGTATTCTTTAGTATAGTTTAGTATAGCATTCTTTAATATAATATAGATCATAAAATAATAAATTAGCCTTCTAAGAACATGGAGTCAAATTCATCGTTTCCTCACCTTCATCGGGGGCACTTTGAATACAAGATGCTGTGACCTCCAAAATGTTCTGTTCCAAGGGGTTTGCATGTGCTAAGGATGGCTGCTTTCCCAAGCCCTTGCCCTCTCCTAAACCAGAGAGGAAGCCTGAGGTCCTGTCTGGGGTCTGTGGCCTTGCACTGTGCACGCAGCTTTCCCTTGCAGTGGGCACTGAAATACTCATCAATACCAGCAACTGCAGAAGCTTCTCTGAACTTTGAAAGAAGCAGGTCCTTAGGCTGCAGTTCAGAATTAAAATGCAATCTTCACCTAGGCCGTTATTAATGCAACATTTATGCAGATTGGAGTGTTCTGCTCGTATCCTCTTTGCAGAGGACAAATCCTGCTGTGGTCAGCACTTGATACATCCCAGATGGATGTTGTTCTGCCAATGCACTTCAACACAGCTTGGAAGAGAGATGGAAACCGCAGCTTGGACCCAGCCAGGGACTTGGTCTGACACACCTGCTCCTCCCATCAACACTGCATGAGGCTAAAGCTTCTCTTCTCGTCCAGAAATATTCTGAAGATCTCTTTAGCTCCACTGGTCAGGTTTCCAGGTGTAGGGCAAAAGCTTTGGCTGGTCAGGTGTCAGGTTTTAATGTGATGAGCAACTGTTGCTTTTCCTGGGTGTGTAAATGTGTAGGGAACACACAATATCGGTGAATGAAGGTAATGCAAAATGTAATCTTATCCCCCAATGAGTTGCAGCTGGAACCAATTACTGAAGATTAGGAACAGGTCTGCTCTTAACAGGCCACACCTGTAGCCAATAAGAACTAGTGGCATAAAAGAGTGGATTGGTGGGAACTGGAGTCAGATGGCTGCTGCAAGGACTAGGAACAGTCAGTGCTTAGAGGAGCTGCCTGCGAGAAACATTGAGGAGGTGTGAAACTCTGGTGCTACAGAATCCTTGCACCATAGTTATAATAGAACTGTTGTAATATGTAAGACAACATAAATGAGACTTCTGTATCCTCACACCCTTTTGAAACTGTCTCTGGGAAACACCTCTTGTTTTCCACTGCAGGACATTTGCTTTGTGTGGACAGAATGCAGTGAACAAGGCAGCTGTTCAGTACATTAAAAAAAAAAAAAAGTATATATATATATATATATAAAATACACACATACACTTCCTTTTTCTATAGCCTGCTGTTATTATCTGCTACTTACTGTTCTGCTATATATTGCTTTCCTCATTCATGTCCCATCCATGGCACAACCTCCTCCTTCCAAGCTGGTGGTTTCACTTGTTAGGACCCTAATTACTGAGAATTTTAGACAAAAAACAAAAAAATCCATTATTCACTCTCCAGATTCTTGGATTATTTGTGTGTTTCTGCTTAATTCCTGTCCAGCCTGTACAAGAGCAAAAAGTTCCTGAGACTGTTAAACACTGCAAACAAAACTGCACTGGCAACTGTCATCAAGGGGAGAAGAGGTTGAGTGATTTATTTTGCTCTATATAAAAACTAACAGAAAAAGCCAGGTACTGAACAATTCATGACTTAACAGCAAGATCTCGTGAGCAAGGCATCTTGAATATACAGAACTTTGAAGCTGCACTTTAGTTTGAGTCACGGCTCTTCTAAGGTTTAGGAGGAAAATAATTTAGAATATGAACATTAACATTTTTCCCCTTTATAGAGCCACACCTGTGATGCAGTTGAGAGAATTTGGGGGTTTTTTTCATTTCAGAGAAATTACAAGATCTGTCCATTCAGTGCTGGGTTTCCACAGTTCAAATGTGTTCTTAAAAAACATAGCAGTAGATGCCCAGATCTGTGGGAATCTGTGGATTCAGTGAAGAAATTCTGTTTATGGCTCTTTTTAGAGTCAAGTTTAGGTTTCTAATTCTCCAGTTTTGCTACAGAATCTCAGCGTGACCTTGAACAAGTCACTTGATTTCTCTCTGCTGTGGTTTCCCATTTGGGAAATGGTGGGGCAAATAATCGTTTTTTATCTCATGGATATAACAAGATTATAAAAATATGGTACTTTTAAGAACCTTAGAAAACTGATGAAATGAAATTAAACAGATCCTGCAGTCCGGATAAAATGAGATGAAACAAGCATGAAACTATTAGTGAAAGAAATGTTTCTTTATCTTCTGCAAATAAAAATGCAAAGTGATTAAGTGGGTCTTTTCTAGCTATTAGCAATAGCAGCTCTAGCCAGCTGACTTCTGCCACCCTTGTAAATTAATTTGTGGGGTACAGCCCTGAATTTAGTATGCTCACAATAAATACCCTTAAAAATTTTGTCACCTTCTGTGATGCACAACATTACTGCCATGATAGTACTGCAATTAACTTGCCCTACAGATAAAAAGTGGCTGCTTTAAATGAGATACTCTAACACAATGCTTTGCAAATTTATTTTAATTGATTTTTTTTCCCCTCCCTGTGATATTTCCTGCCTTTACTATATATCCAACAGTATTTTTGTGAGGCAGGGGAAAGGAATGGGAATAAAGGTAAAGGTTGTTCTTGTCCAGGACAGGGTTGGAGGTCTGGTGGAGCAAACCCCCCATGTCCCTGCTGCTGGCAGCAAGGCTGAGCATGGTTAGGGATGAGCTTTGTGTGGGTGTGAGGTGCTGGAAGAGGAGAAAAGCCCCAGCTCAGGGCATTTTCCTCCCCTGGCTTGGTGACTGGATGAAAAAGTCTCTCAAATCCAGGTAGGGATTAATGAGCAAAACAGGAAGGGAGGAGTTTGTGCTGGTTGTATCTAACACAGAGGGAAGACAAGCAGAGTGTGTCAGAAAGCAAAAGGCTGGAACATGCTACAAAGAAACTTTGTGCTGGGACTCTGACAGAGGCCCGGTTACCTGTGCTCAGGAAATCTCAATTTACTCTTCTTTTCTTTTACTTTTTTTGGTATTTTTTAAACACAGGTTTTAATCACATTTGGACTGTGCAGATGAAATCCAAATCAGAAGCCAAATCTGCCAAAGCTGCCTGGGTCCCTTCTCTGTGATGCCCTATTCCTGCTGCTATTGTGGTGATGTTTTGAGGCAGTGCTCACAGATTACATGGTAATTTGGCTTCTGTAGTGGCATGAAATTGAGCATTGCACTTTGAATTCCAGTGGTCAGACTCAGAAGAGGTTTGTAAAGTTATGGCTCAGCAACTGCAAATGATCCATTTTTCACAGCCTAATGACCAAGGGCTTGTTTTTGGAGTGATGGGAAGTGATCACATACACCCTTACCTCCAGCACTAATTGTAGAGTAAAAGAGGTTAAATTAAACCTTGGAGGCACCTTTGATCTGGATCTTTCACAGCAGCAGGAAAACTCAGAGCTGTGGTGACTTTAAATCATTCATTTTACCTCTCAGAAGGAAAAGTTAAGCATGGATGTGGTCAGTTTGCTCTGGAAAGAAACAACTTGCAAAGCCTAGTCAGCTGGGGTAAACCACAATGTAAAGGTTATAATGTGTATTGAGACAAAAATGGAAGATTATATAAAGTAGTCATTTAGACATGGATTTTAAATCATCCCTTTTTTGCCTGTCAGTTCAAGTGTTCCTCTTGTTCCCATTTAAAATTTAAGGCATTAAGCAAGAGCAAAGACCATCCCTATCCCAAAGAGATCATCTTGGCATCAGATACAGTGCCACAGGTAGTGCAAATGGGAAGGCTGAGTGAATGGAAGTAAGAGAACAAAACAGAGATCAGCAGAAAAATGGAATTCTTGGCTCATGGCTTCCCCAGGCAATGCCAGACAGCAGTGACACAGAGGGTCATGGAAGGAGTCTTAAAGGAGGATTTAAAGGATGGGAAGGTGTCATTACTGAGGACTTCTGGCAAAGGATAAACACGTGAATTCCTTGCTTAAATCAATGGGACTTTTACTGGCATGTGTCCTAGGGCTGAGTGTGTCCCTTGCTGGGATCAGTTAAAAAAAAAGCCTGCAAATACTGCATTTTACCAGGTCCATTGGGAGGAAGAATCAGTGATGGAGAAGAAATGGGAGACTTTTCATAGAGAAAAAGAGAAAATTGCTTCATTTGCATAGGAATGTATCACAGCTGAAACCCATGCAGAAAATATTTCCTTCTGGGATAGGGTGGTTTAAAAACACAGTCACCCAGCTGCAAAATTGGTTCTGACTCAGGCAGACAATGGCCCTCATTTCTGGATGGATGATGCTTCCAGTCTTGTGCCCAGCTACTGAAAACACCTGGTAGAGTTCTGGCCTCCAGGACATCATCTTCCAGTTAAACATAGGAGTTTGGCTGTTTCTAAACAAAGAATTTCTGAGCACCATTCCCAAACTGGGAGAATTGTCTGTCTAGATTTGCCAATCACAACCCATCTTGTTTGATGTGGGTGCTTGATGGCTTCAATGGTGGCATCTCCTGCATCATCAGATAGCATAAAAACGTCTTTTCTATCATCATTTGGTCTTTGAGACGCTTGGTTTGTAGGTGGTGCTGCATTCCAGTGGCTGAGGTATGTGTCCTGGGAATCTGGAGTTGTAGCAAGTCACAGGTGATCCAAGAAAACAGAAATACAATTTTGGGGGTGCCTGGTGGGTTTTTAGCAAAAATCCAGGCAGATCTGTGGTTCTTTGATCATTGTTGGCTTTGAGGAGCTGCTGCTGTGGAGAAGTAACAAGGCACCAAAAAGGAGGGTTTCATCCTGTTTTGTTGGCTTAATAAATTCTCTTGGAAATGTGAGTTCTAGTTACTGTTGCTACCACTAATTTATATCCTACCCTAACCCTAATCTAATCCAATATGTAAATTGTGGTGTCCTGGCCAGGTGTGGTATTTCCTGTTCCAGCAAGAGCCTTTTTGCTTCTTCTCTTTTCAAAACACTCAACCAGTTTTCACCTCCATTTCTCTCCCATGTTCTTCATAGCTACAGGTCTACAAAATGTTAGGTGTTGTCTCTTCAGTACCATTTAGGAAAAAGAGAGGAATGGGGAAAATAGCTGATCTTTAGCACTGAGGGTTCTTTTCTGCTTTAAAAAAAATCCTAAGCATAAGATTCAGGGGGTTTCAAAGAGACATCAGTTAAACCTGCCTGCTCAGTGAGAGCCAACAAGTGGATCTTTCAGATGTCTGAGTGTTCCCTGGGGGTTCACATTATTAATATCTGCCTTATGACAAGGTGGCTGTGCTGATGCCAGGCTTTTTTTCCCAGCCAGCATGATTAATTTTTCCTTCCTTTCTTAATATCTCCGAGCCAGATGCTTCTAAATGTCCTCACAGGGTGGATTGCTGTTCTTAGCTACTCCTCCTTCCCCCCTACCCCTTTCCAACTAATTCATATAATGGCTCTGGAGATGCATTTTTGTAGCATCACAAAAAGCAAAACTTTGAAAGCCTCCTGAGGTGATGGACTTGACACGTGCAGCTCTGGCCTCCCGACATTCCTGGTGGGCTTGAAAGCTTTGTGCCAGGTAGTCTGTCAAGAACATTTCCCAATTCAGAGGGTGCTTATTTGCCTAGCACTTTACAAATTATATCCATGCAGAAGTGCTGAAGTGCAAGTATTCCTGGTGGGGAGGTTGACAGCAGGGTGTTGCACTGATGTTTTGGAGACAGGGAATTTTGGCCGAGGCAGAGGAATGTTTGCATTATTTATGGAAAATGCAGTGGATCTTCAAGCACTGATTTATTTTAAGGGCTTCAAACATTGTGGTGCTTAAAAAGGTCTTTATTCTGCAGATGGAAATGAATTCTCCTTCACAGGTCTGGTGCCACAGTGCAGCTGCATGGGTCTGAGTGGTACAGCTGAGAGGGAAGAGCTTAGCAAGCTCTACAGCTTGTTCCTAAGGTGTTCCTGCTCAGCAAACTGATATCCATCAGTTTTCTCCATATAATAGATTTGTAGGTTTTCTGTATTTATCCTCAGTGGTTTTCAGTCATTAGTG